CTATAACATTATTTGACATATCCCACCTTTATTTTATACATAATATAAAATACATTTTTATAGCATATGTAATTCTCCCATTTTCCCCACAAAAACTATCTTTTTTAAAAAATTATTAATGAACAACAAACAGAAAAAAACATTAAAAACAATTAATGTGCATACATAACAAAAAATACAAATTTACAAGTGTACATAAATATTAATCATCTTTGCTGGAGTTACTCCTTTTTTTTAACCAGTGGTAAAACTTCTCCCAAATTCTGTAATAATCAGATTCAGTCTTATCTTTTAATTCTTGAGTTATTCTATCCATTTCAGTGCAGGACCAAATTTTTCTAATTATTTCCATCTCTTCTGGCATATCATTTCCTTTCCATCTCTGGGCAAGAGCTAGTCTCACAGCAGTGGTGATATGGATTATTAAATATATTATCTCTTTATTATATTTCCCCACATTGATTCCCAACAAGAAAATTTCAGATCTGAACTCTTTTACACATCTCTTCTAACCAGTTTCTGATTTTCAGCCAATATATTTGGGCTTTTTCACATTTCCACCATACATGGTAATATGTTCCAATTTCTTTACTGCATTTCCAGCATTTTGGAGATAATTTCAGATACATTTTTGCTAGTTTTGATGGTGGGATGTGCCATCGATAAAACATTTTTAGTAAATTTTCTTTATATGATGCTGCTAGGGTAATTTTCCTATTCCTGCCCCATAAAATTTGCCAATCTTTCAGATTTATACCGTATCCAAAATCTTTCATCGATGCCAGCATCGTTTCTTTCACCTTTTCTCCTTCCAATTTACATTCCAATAGTACTTTATAATTTTTTTAAATCAGTTTCTCGTCCGCTCCTAATAATATTTTATCTAATTCTGTTTTCCGTTTACTAATACCCCATTCTTTCATATCTTTACTATACCTTGATTGTAACTGTAAGTAGGCCCACCGTTCTATCTCAAATCTGAAATCTTTCAGCTCCTGTCTTGTTTTTAAGTTTCCCTTCTCATCTAATATGTCCTCATATGTAATGACCTGTCCTCGTCGCAATAAATGTGGGTACATTAACGCTTCCAATGTAGATAGCCAAGTTGGTATTTCAATGGAGAATTGAGATTTAGTTTTGTTCCATGCACTTAGTAAGGTCTGCCTAATTTTGTGCCTTTGGAAATAACCATGAATTTGGTGTTTGTCCTGCCACAAAAAAGCATGCCACCCTGCTTGTAGGTTATATCCTTCTAATGTTAATATTCTTTTGCTTTTAACACTTATCCAATCTTTAACCCAGGTCAGAGTGGCCACTCTATAGTATATTTCCCAGTCTGATAAACCAAATCCTCCCCTTTCAGTAGCGTCCTGTAACAATTTCAGTCTAATTCTGTGCTTTTTCCCCTGCCAAATAAATTTTGATACTAACTTATCCAATTGATTAAAAAAAATTTTTTCTAATTTTACCAGAGCATTTTGGAATAGAAACAGTAATTTTGGTAATATGTTCATTTTTAATGATGCAATTCTCCCCATAAGAGAAAGTCTTAGACTGCTCCATTTTCTGAAGTCTTCAGCTATTTTTTTAATTAGTGGGGTATAGTTATCCTCTTTAAGCATTGTACATTTTGTCGAAATTACAATTCCCAAATATTTAATTTTGTTTGTTGTCTGGATGTCCATTATCATTGTTAAGTTTTCTTTTTGTATATTTGTCATATTTTTAGTAAGTATTTTAGTTTTTTCCTTATTAATTTTTAGCCCCGCTACTTTGCCAAATTCCTCTAATTTCTCTATTAGTTTTAGTCCCGAATTTTGTGGATCTTCTAAAATAAAAACCAAATCGTCAGCGAAGGCTTGTAGTTTGTATTCTTCTTTCTTTCTTTTTAGTCCTTTTATTTCTGGTTCTTTTTAAATTATTCTCGTTAGTGTCTCTGAAGTCAAAATAAATAATAATGGTGATAATGGACATCCCTGCCTTGTTCCTTTTTGTATTTCAAATTTGTCTGTTGTATGGTCATTTATCAATATCTTAGCTTGTTGTTTATCATATATGGCAGCTACTACATTTAGAAACTTTTGCCCCAAAGTATTTTCTTGAGTCTTTCCACTATTATAGCTACAAAAATTTTATAGTTCACGTTTAGTAGAAATATTGCCCTATAATTTCCTATCCTTGTTAGATCGTCTTTTTCTTTTGGGATGATTGTAATTGTTGCTTCCTTCCACAAGTTCAGAATTTTTGCCTTATCCAGGACTTCATTAAATAATTTGAGTAATCTGTCACCTAATATTTCTTGTTGGGATTTGTATAGTTCAGCAGGGAGTGCATCTGGACCAGCCGCCTTATTATTTTTTTGTTTATTTGTTGCCTAGATAACTTCTTCCAAATTTATGCTTCTATTCAATAGACTTTTTTCCTCTTCCGATATTCTCGGAAGATTTGCTTTCTTGAAATATTTTATTGCTTTTTCTTCTGTTACAAATTCTTCTTTATATAGATCCTCATAGAATTTCTGGACTATATTCCTTTTCGTTTCTTCTTGATAACATATTTCCACCTGTTCGTTTTGTAGTTTAGTGATTCATCTTTTTTCCGATTGCTTTTTCAATTTCCAGGCTAGCCATCGTCCTGGTTTATTGACGTTCTCAAATACATTTTGTTTTATTCTTTTCATTTTGGGGGCTAAATCTTCTTTTTCAAACAGATTTATTTCATGTCTTGTTAAGTCCATTCTTGTTTTTAGCTCTTTCTGTTTCAGTTCTTCTTGTAGTTTCATCTCTAGGTTTCTATATTCCATTTCTAATGCTTTTCGCTGTATCTTCTTTTTCTTATTTTTATTCGCCATATAATTTGTCGCTACTCCTCTCATAACTGCTTTAGCTGTATCCCAGGTGTTTTGTAAGGATGTATCTTCTTTATTTTCTTCAAAGAAGAGTTTCATTTCCTTTTCCAATTTAATTTTAAATTTCTCCTCTTTTAATATCGTTCTTTGTAGGGTCCATCTTGAGGTTTTGAGTCGGCCTTTCCAGCTAAACCTAATGTAACTATGATCTGCCCACAAGCTCGGTTCAACTTCTATTTCCATTATTTCAGAGATGAGCCTCTTAGGCATCCATACCATACCCAGTCTCGACCAGGACTGATGTCTGAGTAAAACATGAATTGTTTCTTGTTTGGGTGATGTTCTCTCCATGCATCATAGATTTTAGCCTCGTTTGCCAAATCATGGAATTTTTTTGGTATTACCTTTCTTCTTGTTATTATTTTTGCCTTTATAATCCTTTATTTTATCTATAATTGCATTGAAATCACCTAAGATGCAAAACTCTTCATAATGCCTTTCCTTAATATTATTATATAATTTTTGAAAAAAATGTTCTTGTGGGCCATTTGGAGCATAAATTTCTATCAACAGAATATTTTTATTTTCAAATTCTATCTCTACCATCAGTATCCTGCCGTCTTTATCTTTAAAAATTTCTGTAGCCAAAATCCAACCCTTTACGTATAACACCACCCCTCTTTTCTTTTGCTTACCTAGTGACATAAAAGTGTTTCCTAATTTTCTGTTCTCTAACAAGTATTTTTGTTTCTTTTTTATATGCACCTCTTGTATAGCTATTATGTCTGCATTGAATTTCTGTAAATTTTAGAATATTTTCTTCCTTTTCACCAGGGAGTTTAGACCATTAATATTCATTGAGATTGCCTCACATTTCTCTCTTTTTTTTCAGTTTCTTTGGCTGGTATTTCTTGTTGCTCTTGTTTCTCTGGATTCTGTATATTGTCTTTCATATATTTCTGCCTTTCTTCTTCCATATCTCCTCTCCTTGTTATTCGATGAGTTTTCTTCCTTATTTTCTGCCTCTGTTCCTCTTTGCTCAACCAAGTCTTTCCTTCCTTCCTCTTCTTCCACTGCTGTCTCTCCTTCATGAGCAAATTGTTGGTCGTAGAAGTCTTCCGTTTTGTCCGTTGTATCTAATCGATATCTCTTCTCCTGCCAGTTAACCATAATTCCCTCCGGCATCAACCATCTAAAACTAATATTATGTTTTATGAGCTTCCCACAACAACAGTCTTGTGAGGTGGGTTAGGCTGAAGACATTGTCTGGCTCAAAGTCCTCCAACTGACTTCTATGCCTAAGGGAGGACTAGAAATCATAGCCTAACATTTTCTGCTTTAGTATCTTGCATTATCTTGACTCCCTGTAACGTCCTCCAATGTAATACCTTCCTTTTAATATTGGCTTCTCATTTTGAAGTACATTCCTTTCAGATGTGCTATTGTCATTTGCTGACATGAAAGGAGTCTGTGTGCAGGTCCACAGACTAATTTAGTTGCGATAATGTAAACCTCAATCCACATTTACTAACCAGAGCAGACCTATTAAGTATTATGACATGCCTTCTTCCATCTTATATTTTTCTTGTAGCATCTGAAGATTGATGTATACCAGGGCTGTCAAACTCCTGGATGCGTCACACGCTGGCCATGCCCACACCCAGTTTAGCGAAGGGGAAAAAAATTCTGATACATCATGTGATGCCGGCGTGACAATGTTAGTTTGACACCCCTGATGTATACATTCTGCCTTTTCCTTCAAGGAAATTTATAAATTAAATAAAAAGGTAGGATCTTCAAGCAGCCATTGAAATGGGCTTTGTTTCAGGTTCCAGATCAGTTGCTGAAAACTATTATATTGAACATGATTGGTTGTCACTGGTCTTTTTTTCAAACACACACACACACCATCGCTTGTGCTGTATGTAGAAAACCTTGATGTTCATTCAAGCTTGTTGATATCTTCCAACTGTGATATTATTTTTGGATACAAAAGGATTAATTCTAAAAAATGGTGGTATGAGAAAGGCAGCATTTCCATTTAGCTGGGATGATAATCAGCATTTATGTTGAGGGACAGGGTTGTAACATGAAGGATCTTGTATGGACAGCAACTGTCATTCTACATTTTAAGATAATTGTCCATTTCTAGGTCTGTTTGTGATGGACGAAGATTCTCCAAGCCAAGATTATGAGCCTTTTTTTGATTCCGATGTGGAGAGCACTGACGGTGAGTGAAGTAGCACTATGTAAGAGAGACAACACTGAACCCAGCTAATCCTTTGAGTTTTTCCCTATTCTTCCTGTTGAATAGGTATCCTCCCTTCTCAGAATTATCCAGGTCTACTGGATCAGTCCAAACCTGTGAATTTTTGGTTTCAGCTTCTTCTATGAATTCCTCTTTTGTTGTAAGGACCTTCTTGATAAACCCAGTGAGGTTCAATTACAGGTAGTCCTCGACTTACAACCACAATTGAGCCCAAAATGTCTGTTGCAAAATGAGACAGTTAAGTGAACTTTGACCCATTTTATGACCTTTCTTGCCACAGTTAAGTGAATCCCTGCAGTTAAGGTAGTAACATGGTTGTTAAATGAATCTGGCTTCCCTGTTGACTGTCAGAAGGTCACAAAAGGTAATCCCATGACCCCGGGATACTGCAACCATCATAAGTATGAGTCAGTTGCCAAGTGTTTGAATTTTGAGTGTGAAAAATGGTTGTCATTTTTTTCAGTGTCATTATAACTTTGAACAATCATTAAATGATTTATAAATCGAGAACTACCTGTACTCACAAATGAAAGCAAGTATACATGTCTCAAGATAATGTTGCAGGATCCAATCTGGGTCAATCACCAGGAGCAGAAGTTTTGTCTTCCGAGCTTTTGGACTTGTGCTGGAGCCCATCTTCAGGGAACGTCTCCCTAACAGAGTGTGTGCTGTTTATGTGTGGTATTTATAGTGCCTGTGGAAAGTGGCTTTTTAGATATTGATTGGGGTGTGTTGACGGCTGGCTTTTAAGTCATTAGCTGTTGTTTATGCTGCCCAGCCCTCACCTTCTAAATATTTGATAGACTGGTAATAAATCAGTCCTGTTGACTGGTTAGGGGCCGTTTCCCAGGCTTCAATCACTTCACTAATTGTTTTTGTGCCTGCTCATCTTAGTAGCTCCAAAATTGAATGTGTGTTCATTGCAGTGTGAGGCTGCCAATGAGTTTGAGTCTCCTGGTCTAACCGCTTATATTCTTGCAATCTGGTGGTTAGCTTCCTCCCTGTCTGTCCTACATAGTCACATGGGCAATCCATGCAGGGGATTCAGTAGATTACATTGGCAGTATCTCCCACCTCCAAGCGATCATTGGTCTTTGTTAGGAATGTAAGTCACTTAATAGTTGGGTTGGAAAATATATAAACCAGAATAGACATTTTAATACTGTCTCTTTAAGGGAATGCTCAAAGTGTAATTGGGAGTGGCTCCTCAAACGGCCATAAGATGGAGCCAGAAACCTGGGTTGTTTAGTTCTGTTCTGTTGTTCTGGAGAGTGTTGCCGTTCCTATTGAGTGTTACTGATCATAGTTCATCTTGGATTTGGTGTAAGTCAGTTACTGAACTGTTTTTGATACTGGACTTTGTTATTGGATTATCCCTGGACTGAAAACTGACTGCTTTAACTGTGAATGACTTGGACTGCTTGTTTGGACTTTGCTTAAACGTTTATTGGAAGTAAAAACCTACATGTTACAATACAGTGTATCTGTGTGCTGTTTGTGTATTATTCTTCACCACTCTCACTACGTCTCCCTGTGTGCAGTCATTCTCCTAACGGGGAATTACCTCAACACTGGTTATGGGCTCAGGCCATACCAGGCTCAGATAAGAGTTAGTGTGAATACACAATACCTTATACAGACAGCTGTTTACAATTTAATTGTGGGTTACTATCCTGGTAAAGATGGCACAAGACCCTTCAACAAGTCTATCACTGATAAACTGGTTGGATGGAACAAACTATGTTTCCTGGTCTATGAAGTGCAGTCTACTTCTGCGTAGAGAAGGGTTATGGAATGCAGTTCAAGATCCACCGGATGTAAATGCTTGGGATCCAGAAAATGAGGACGATGCCAAGAAGCTTGCTGACTTTAAATGGAACAACGAAAAGGCTCTTTGTATAATTGGACTAACACTGAGTGACCAGCAGCTAGTTCATATTCGTGGAGAAGAGTCTGCTGCTAGATGTTGGGAGAATTTGAAGAGGATTTATGTTTGTGACAGTGTAGGTGCACACATACACCTTACACGTAAACTGTTTAGAGCATGTCTTCTGAACGGTGGAGATATGTTAGCTCATTTAAACTTCATGAAAATAACTTTTCAAGAGCTACATGAAAAGGAACTGATATTTTCAGAGCTGCATCAAGTTTACATCATTCTTTCCTCATTGGATGAAAGTTATGATGATTACGTATCTTCACTGGAAGTCCTGCCCAGATATGAACTAACATTGACTGACATAACCGGAAGGTTGTTAGAAGAGGCAAGAAGACGGCTGGATAGGGACCAACTGAGGAAGGAACAACCACAAGAAGAGGATTTGTGTTCAACTGCCTATACTGTTAGGAAATGTTTTTCTTGTGGGGCTAGGGGACATATAGCTAAATTCTGTAAGAAGGGAAAACGACAATACTGGTAATCACCAGAAGGCCAAGAAGAATGTTAGTTTAGCTATGTCTAGCAATTCAACTGTAAACCATGATTTGTGGGTTGTTGATAGTGGAGCATCGCAGTGTATTACTAAAAATAGAGGTTTGTAAAGATATCTACGAGTAAGCAACATGTATTATTGGCAAATGGATGGAAGATGAAAGTGTCTGGTCAAGGTACTGCATATTGTTCTTATGTAAATGAGCATTTAACTATGTTATATGTACCTAAACTGAAATTTAATTTATTATCAGTAAGGGCTTTAGTTAATATTGGTTATGTAGTAACCTTTAGGGGAGATAACTGTATAATAGAGAAAGAGGGTAAAAGTGTTACTGCTAATTTAGAGAATGATTTATATGTGATACATGATGACCAGTTGAAGATGGCTAACTCAGTTTATAACAATGTTAAGCCACGTGATGAATGTATACATTTACTGCATAGACGTCTAGGGCACATTAATTTCAAAATGTTGAAACAAACTGTTGAATTGTCAGAGGGAGTAAAGTTAAAACCCTGTAGCAAGTACTTAAACTGTAATGCCTGTAGCCAAGAGAAAAGCAAGGTTACTCCAGCAAACAGACTAAATGGGTTTAAGACCAAAGAACCTTTAGAGGTTGTGTTTGCAGACATAATTGGTCCTAAGAAACCTAGTTTGGGAGGTGCCTGCTATGTTTTGAGTATAATGGGCCATTATGGTACGGTTTCTGCTATCTCATGAAAAACAAAACAGAAACATTCCAACATTTCTTTAACTGGCTAAGGTTTGCTGAGAGAAAAATGAAAAGTAAAGTAATTACTTTAGTTACTGATAACAGGACTGAGTTTGTTAATAAGAGATTCCAAACTATGTTGAAATTGGCTGGTGTCAAGCATAAACGTTCTGCACCTTACAGACCACAACATAACTCATTTATAGAACGAAAAGGGCAAATGTTACAAGCCATGGCTCACACTATGTTAACTGACTCAGGTTTGCCTGAAACACTGTGGGGTGAAGCCATAATGTGTAGCAATCATGTGTTAAACAATGTAGTTAACACAACAACTGGAGAATTGCCATTCACTCGTTGGCATGGCAGAAAGCCAAATTTAAGTTATCTACACACATTTGGAGCTCCAGCATGGGTGCATATTCCCTCACAAGTAAGACTGAAAGGGCAACATAGAGCTAGGAAATTATTTTTCATAGGTTACGAAGCCAACCATAGATCGTTTAGATTCTGGGATCCAGGCACACCTCATGTTTATTGTAGTGCTAGTGCAAAATTTCTTGAGCACATTGGGTGGAACAGGAACAGGAATCCAGCAATGATATTATTATTGACACCAAAGTAGTCCCTAAAGATGAAATAAGTAAACCACAAATAGCCATTAAAGAGGAAGAACAGGCACAGGAGGAAGTAGGAGAACAGGCACAGGAGGAGGTAGAAGAACAGGAGGAGGTGGAACAGGTGAGTCCACCAGTAAGCCCTGTATTACCGAGACATTCAACCCAAGTAACATGACCACCTGATAGATATCAGGCTAGAATTGTATGCCAAGTGAATACAGTTCCAAAAAGCTATAATGAACTAAAACTGTATCCTGCTAAGGATCAGGTTGCTTGGCAGAAAGCAATGGATAAGGAACTGGAATCATTAAAAACGTTGGAGGTATACGAAAATGTTAAGTGACCATCTGGTAAACATGCCATAGGATGTAAATGGATTTATAAACTTAAGACAGGTGTGGATGGGACTGTTACCCATAAAGCCAGGTTAGTAGCACAAGGGTTCAATCAGACAGCAAATGACTATGATGAGGTGTTTGCACCTAGTCTGAAGGCTACTACATTAAAGGCAGCATTAGTGTGGGCAGCTAAAGAGAAATACATTATAAATCATTTGGATGTCGAGACGGCATATCTGCATGCACCGTTGCAACACACTATTTATTTAAAGAAATCTTTAGGTCTCAATAATGATAATACAACTGATTGCTGGAGATTGAAAAAGAGTCTTTATGGCTTGAAGCAATCAGGATATGAGTGGAACCAATGTATAGTTAAGGAATTAACTAAGATAGGTTTTGTAGCTGGCATGGCTGATCCATGTTTGTTTAAAAAGGAAAGTAATGGTGTAGTGTCATTGTTGCTATTGTTTACTGATGACATAGCATTAATCACCAAAACTGAACAAGAAGCTACTAAAATAATATCACTGTTAGAGAAGAAATTTAAGATAAAACACTTAGGAGAAATTAAACAATATCTTGGATTAAAGATAGAACTAGGAGAGTATACAAAATCTCACAGGCAGATAAAACTAACCAATTACTAAAAGGTTTTAAAATGGAACTTTGTAAACTGGCTAAAACACCGATGAGCCAAGAGTTTAACCATAGTGATGTTCAAAGTCCCGTTTTTGATAAGAACATTTATCAGTCCTTGATTGGTAGTTTATCTTATCTCAGTAATTGGTCAAGGCCAGATATAGCATACAATGTTCACCAATTAGTGAAATTTAACGCTGAGCCGACTGAAAGG